GATACACAAAATTAAAGTGATTTTAAGGGCAATCCAAGTGGAGCGAATCGCGAATACCATGTTCATTTGCATATTGACCGTGAAAATACCAAAAACATCATTGCATATTAGTTTTAGTCAAAATAAGTTACTGCTTAGAAGTACCATTACTGTTGTTCAAATTTCATTTCACTCGGCAAATATATTCATGTACCCAAACGTAAAGTATCGTACTTCTAAATATTGTTTATTTCTGCTATGTTTCGAAAAACGCTACTCTTGAACGGACTACTTTATTCGCTCTCAGACCTCATTTGCATATGGGGTGTGGAAGTACCGATTTTGATTTCAGGGACGAATCAAAATAAACTGCAGTATATATGTAATAATGTGGAATACTTCCTTTCACTGTGAACATTTTCCCGCTAAAATAAATTCCAGTGAAAATGCCATTTCCCTCATACTCTATTGAGACTTGACACAGCACAGTGAAAATTTGATTCACACCGTATGCTTGAAAACTTTTCATCGAAAATAAATTAAGTGAAATTCTGTGTGATTTCATGAGAGTTGAAAATGAAAAAATTATATGACACCCAACCCTACCACTCCATACACAATATAACCACACCTCAAAAACATCCTTTCACCAGTGTATTCTATTTGAATTCATGAGAAATTTAAATAAACAAATTATATGACAACAATTTCAACCTCTAGTTCAGCACTGATTAAATAAACTACCTCGTCTTTATGCCAACTTGAAGTTATTCAATGCCTACACCAGTGACTTCAAAATCTATGTTTCAATTCCAGGAATTTCACTTGCTATTAATTGTATGGGAGTGCCAGTCTTTTATTTTCTATTGTAATGTCAATTTCTTGTGATTACTCAGAAAATGAAGCTGTAACCACAGACCACAGTGCTGCAACTAAATCCTGGTATAAGCACCGGTTAGGCAGTCTTGAACTATGCATGTGAAGCCAGCTGAGAGGTATATCCAATCCTATAGATTTCTCATTGTTTGGTAACTATTTGCTGCAAATGCAACAAAAATCAATATAAAAATATTACCCACACAGCATTCTACAGGTTACTTGTAGTATACTAGTATTTGGTTATTGATAAAATAGTAGGACGCCACCAGGCGGTCAGGCTTAGCAAGTGCGTCGTTTCTCTCATGAAGTTGACGCTGAATGTACACAATAGAAGCCGCTCATCCCGCCACTGGATAGCAAAGAACGTGGAGATGATCCGTGCTACATCGTGACCAATAATAAAATTATTGGTTTTCCAACTGTGGGCGTGTCTTTTATTTCTGTGCCAAATGTGCAACACCAAAGTCCCGCCGTTTATTTTTCATGGTTGTTCGACCATAGTCGTCTACATCAGTATCACGAGTTCTAAGTTTAACCTACGCCCAACTCGGCGTCCTGGGGAGGAAATCTACTCACCCCGCCACGCCACCTCGATACCTCTCTTTCCCGGAAACATGCTTTCCAATACGAGACTGATTTCTCTATAAGTTCGGCCATTTAAAATCATATTTTGGACAAGATTGTTTTATCAATTGCTGCTCCAAATCATTCAGAAAATGGCAGCGCAAAAACCGCGCAAATTCATTTTACCGCCACTTTACAACGGTTTTCACACAGACACCAGTTAATTCCGTTACCCAATGACTGAAGCAATTTCACATCGACCAGACACGCCCCAAAACAGATGACGAGATTTGACAGGATCGGCCAATGCGCATGCGTATAAAACAGCTGGCACTAATATCCTAATTTCCTAATAACTTATTTTGCACTCGTACAATGCAAAATACATATTTGATTAGGTTGGTTGGCCATCAAGTACCATCCTATGGCACCCAATTCATATATCACCAATACCATAGTACAGAGTTATGTTAACAGTGAGTCAAAAATAAGACTAATATACTAAATTTTTATTTAATTAATTGTAAGGATGAGATTACATTGTGAAATGGCCCCGATGTACCACGGATCCAAATATTTCTGGTGGCATGTTCTCTATACTCCCATTGATGATCTTAATTACTCTTATTAATTAACATTTAATTTGCTGGAAATTCTTGTAGATGCAATTGTCTGCATGTCACCCATGGGTGATTGGCGTTTTATCCACAACCTTCCACATCATCTTATTCTATAATATATTGCTTTGCAGAAACCCCAGGATTCTGTGTTGGTCCGTATCCGCACTTGACCGTCGTGCTTTTCAAATATGACACTGGAGATAAAACAAAGAATGACAAGTTTAACCGCAGGCTTCAGAAGATAATTATGCAGGATTATGGTTTCAACCTTTCTGCGAATGTTGTCAACGGTGAAGTCTATATTAGAGCATGTGTTCTTAATATGTATACCAATATTAAGACGGTTGACAAGCTTATAAGTTCCATTAAATTATCAGTTGCTACAACACAGCAAGAGTTTCTGTGAAATATTTAAGATAATCCCCGAATCATGGATAAATTAATTAAGTCGGAATTAAATCATAAACAAAACATTAAGATAATGTTAACATAGCCTGTCAAGAATAGTTGTAATACTTTATAATTTATGTCTCTGATAATTAATTATAGAAACATGTTATTGACTTGTTTGGTTATATATACCCCAGTAAGTTGATATATTTTAGTGGTAAAGATAATGAGTTCTGTGATTTAAAAGGGGGATGGTGTAGCAGTATACACAATGTGGTCATTATACTTTAATAAATCTACTACAGTTCAATTGTAGTTAGGGCATGTTTTATGCTTACATCGACATTTGATTGTAATTATGCTGCGTATGACTTAGCAACATTTGCCATCACATTTGCATGGTGTACAACAATTGCATAGATATCCTAATCATAGCTATAATTGCTAGCATCCTACGATAATATAAAACTCAATCAACTAACCAGCTTGCTACTTCATGACTGGTCCAATGTTATGGCAAAGTTATTTGATTCGATTGTGCGAATTTAGTGTGTGCGGTTCATAGAATTGTATTTAATGTGTACCAGGTTATTGTGACCACCATGTTATCTGAATAAAAATGCACAATGCGAATTTATTTGAAACAATGTGAAACTACATGTATTTGGAACAATATGATTTTGTCTGCAAAAGTGTGAATCTATCCAGTCTGGAATATGTGGTCATTGCATACGAGTAAAGTGGCACATGAATAACACCTATGCAATAGTTATATCAGACACGGTACTGTAAGGCGTTCGACCCAATTCGAACGTACGTTGGAATAGTAGTAAGTCGCACAAAAGAATGTTTATAAACTGCATGTGCTATCTCGGTACGAAGTTCGATTGCATAAAATTATTTCTTAGTGGATGGTTATGCAAATTACCATTATCTTCACTTAAGTTTTTCGGTTGGGGAGTGTTCAAATCTACTAGTAAATACCTCTCACAATAGTTAATTTCACGTCACGATGAAACTATGCATGTCTGAGTTGTTTATTAACAAATGGGCGTCTATATATATTACAAAGTTATCTAGCAAGATGTGTGCCGTATATTCAATCCCGGTCAGTATTTCACACTTCGGGTGCCACTGTTGGAGAAAGGAAAGATTTAAAAATAGGCCTGGGCTCCCTTTTGTTTGTCGGACGTCGTGTGAAAATTTCAATTTCAAACTGACAAAACAGTGAGAACTTGCAAATAATTTCTGATCAACTGGAAAACGAGTGACCATTTTATGAAAGTGATGGTAATCATCCAGAGAGTTGTTTATTGCATCAGGACTAAATGCCAAAATTCATCACACTCCGATGTTGTTGATGCTCAATTGTCATGTAAATAAATAAAATCAAAATATTTACAATTTGAGGGAAACTAACGACAAAATCGTCTGCCAAGTCAACGCCACTGAGGGGAGGGGCATAATAGATTACGTAAAGCCAATGAGATAATCATACAGTTAGATAAACATTGCGATCGCGATGTGTGGTTTGCTTTGAAAGCAGAATTCAAATTTACCTTTCCTCAAACCTTGAACGATGAAAAAAATATATCGGATGTTTTCACAATGCCCAGTGAAACGAACGGTTCGAAGTTCAACACTATTCCAGTTTCAGTCAGATGAACTCCGTTTAATGGACCAGATGGACTTTATCAAAATCGGAGCAATCCAGTAATAGGGAGGGGAGTCACGATGGTGGTCAAAACATTGTCTGCTACAGAATTACAGTAATATTTTTCTATACAACGTCTATTCGCGCTTCCTATTACTCAATCGCCGGTGACACACAGTATCAAAGACAGAAATAAAGTCGCATTGGAAGAATAACTAATGTATAAATCGATGCAGGTTTAATTCAATTGCAGATGAGTGTGTCAATAAAAATGAGACGAACCCTGACCTCTGGAAATGCCTCAATCATAGTGTTTTAGTACCAGCGGTCGTAGACCATGGACAAACATTGCACTTTGTGACATCACGACGATACATACTGACAAAGGTATTACCGATTGTGATGTCATTTTTATTTTTAATTAACTAAGGATTTTACGTTTGTGTATTTTGACACTGAAAAGTTAGATATCGACGATAGCAACAGAATATATGGAATGATACAGCGTCCAAGCATTACAACACAGATCCTCTATCTCTAGTTTGCTGAATGGTTTAGCTCTAATTAATACCAGTATCGAAAAAACTCGCGAACAGTTCCAGTAGATATTTGTTAAGAATTTAAAATCTCAAGTTATTGAACAAAAAGTTAAAGGGCGCTCTCTATTGATGGCATTTGCAAACAAACGTGACATAAGAAAATCAACGAAAAAGCCAAAAAAATAATTTGAAAGAAATAATGCGTGAAAATTAATCAAAGCAAGGTAATGTAATTAATTTCCATGTATTTTTACTCAAAACTAATTAAGTGTGAATGTTGTCCAAGAACAATTAGACGCATACAAGCAGGAATGACAGAAATGAACTTAGCACAAAAATAGCTGCTACACAAACATTGATCATGAAACAAATTGACATGCATCCCAATGCTTGAATATCAGAGACAATGATGGCGAAGTGTGGACGCACAAAGATCAATCAATAAGTCCCCAATTTTTAACAGTGTCCACATTAGTACCAAGTAATACATTCCTATTCATATATTCACTTTGTGGTGAATGATACACTGCTAAAGTGAATCCACTAATATACGAATACGCAAGACAAATGTATACACTGTGATATTTATTATTATAGACTATGAAATGAAAAAATGAGACAAAGAAAATAAGATCACATTCTCAGATTTTACATTCATCAATTTAAAATGATCACAACATTTCTAGTAGTTACATTCATTCATATACAATAACACTACATCTATTTCTCAGAGATAGTTAAAACATACTACTACAAAATAACACAGAAAGAAAAGAAAAAAAAAACATCACAAAAATGAAATGAGGGCACTAAAAATGATATATTAGCCCTTACCCTGCTGAATAGTTCTTTTTATTTTTATAAAGAAAGAAACATTTCGATAGAAAATGTATATGGCCAAGCTAGTCAGAAGTAAAAGGGACATGCAATTTTTATGTGTGTATAAGTAGATATTTCTTAACGTCTAAGTTTATTATTTCAATTAGGCGTTTTCAGAAATAAAATGTAACTACGAGCCCAACAAGTTATTTAAATGTTACAAGGTACAAAGCTGAAGAAACATTCAGTACATGTTTACAGCATTGGTAAATAATTTTTTTTTTGGTTTACAATATTGTTTATATGAAATGACATATTTTGATGAAAAACCTACCAAGTGAATTGTGATGCAACTTATTTTGCCAGGCAAGCTCAGGCATACCTCGTAAAGTCTGTATACCAATAGTTCAAACTTCGTTATCAGGAACTCTAAAGGTGGAACTGACAAATAGACTCAGATTTCATATAAGAATGTGGGCACACTAAATATTATGGTGGAGTAAAATTATGATAAAAAAAGGCAGAGTAACCAGAAAAAACTTGTTCAATTTTTAATGATTTAAGGTCTTAACTTTCAGGCTGGCATAATTTTGACAATTGTCTCGTAAAATGAAATTTTTTGTTTTTGTTTTAGAAATAAATAACATCTTATACCAACGTTGTATATTTAGACAGTTTAATATATTAATGTTAGTGAACATCTACATTATGCCAAAATAATCACATTTATTACTATGCAATTCCAAATTCTTAGCAAATAACAATTTGCCAAAAAAGCAATCAGGGGCAATCAGTGAATCACTATATAATGAAATCTCAGTAAATAAAGTGAGAAAATGGCAATCAGCAATTCTTCAAGTTTTTTGTATTTTCATACTAAAACACGATTCTCTCATTTTTATAGGAACCAAACATGCCTCTATAAACATGTCTATTACAAACAACCTTTATAGTGTGCTGCAAAACGTGTCTTGGGGTAGTTTATGGGTTTAATTCACTATCGTAGAAACATTTGTATGGATGCATTAATGCCTTATATGAAGGTATTCAACAGAAAACAATGTTTAGAAAAGTGTACTCGCACTTGATTTATCATACAAAGTGAAAAATTATATTTCTTGTAAGTGTGCATACAAATTACAGAAATTGAAATCTTGTTTTTTGGGTTATTCAAACATTTTGCCAATCATGTGAAAACTTTGATTTCATGAAATCTTTTTTTTTTCAACCTTGAAACATGAAATTAAAATATGACACATTGGATATTTTTATTACAATAATGCTGAAATTGCACATCCATAAACTCTAAATTAACTCATCTAACACCATAACAATTTCAACCAGACATACTCCACTCCAATCTACAGCCTTTAAAATTAGAAGTATATATATATATATATATATATATTATATATAATAGTAAATTTTTGAGTGTTGATTTCTTTCATTAGTTATTTTGAAATATCAAAAAAGCATTGCATGACATATACAAGCACCTTAAATAACCCATGGTCTAATTTGTTATTTAAATGCATCTCTGTATGTTAATTCATTTGTAAGCACATATATTACAAACATTTTTTTCTTATAATGACCTATGAGCCTAAATTTCAGTTCCACCTAAAATGGGACATGCATGTAGATTTTCTTTCAGATTAGGATTCAAGGAAAATATATGTGAGTTGTTATGGTATCCTTGACCAATCATGACTAACTCTCACCCCAAGCCCTCCAATTTAATTCTATATGCCCCTCTAGATAACTAGGTGTCCTTAGAAGGAGCATACTGTAGAATACTTTATTTTCGCTTGGAATTTATTTTCACTATTTTTGCTGAAGGGATGATTCTGTGAAAATAAAATCCAGCGAATATACATTTTTTCCTATATTTCCCATTAATCTCAACAAAAATCAGTGAAAATAAATTCCAAGCAAAACGCCCAAAATACCTTTTCAGCGAAAATTAATTCCAGCGAAAATAAAGTATTCCACAGTATACAATTA